ACGAAAAAAAATTATCCTATGGAAATCTGGTTATCTAGAAGAAATGGATCCACTTCTGAGTTCAAATAATCTAACAAAGTAAGCCTGGAAGGCATAAATAATGCAAACAGATCATTGTCAATGAGGTTGATGCTGGTCTCAGAAGCTTTGCGTTAAAGAAATGTCCAGGAGCAGACAAGCCCATGTTGAATCCAACAAGAAGATTACAAATACATACAATAACCTATATAATATGTCCCCATGTAGGGCAAGTGGCAGCACATTTCATAAAAGACATATCACTAGTATTAAAAGCACAGACAGAGCCCAATGTAGTGACTTTGGTTGAACGCAGTACCCTATTCTCACCAACACACAGTTCATTTTACACCTTACACAGAGAAGCATTGAAGTTTCATGTGATGTGCATATTCGTGTTATATGAAATGTTTATAGACAGCTATAAAGTCTCTCAGCAAGTTCACATATGGCAGGAAGATTGTCTTCATCTCATTCTATTATTGTGATACATCAAACCAGAAATAAGATAGAATTTTGTGGATGTCAGAAGCTTTGGATCTCCTTGTGAAAAACATACCACCTCCTTGTAAGTGGCCTTTGTGAAATTTCATGTCTCCAGCCAGTATGAAACCAACAACAAACAAGCATTGACATCTGTCTTAAGTTTCCATTGATGTTTTCCCCAAGTTAATAGGTCAGGGAACCCCTCTTTCCTTTGTGCCCTGACTATGTGGTTTATATTTGAAAAACAGAGACCATGGTGGCATGGGCTTTATACACATAACACAGAAGAGAACAAAATAGTCCTTGGAGTATAAGAAATTTCTGTCTCTCTTACCTGCTGTAGGTGACACTTACTGAGTACCACATTGTCTGCAGGGATAAGACAAGTCCTTGAACCCAGGTCTTAGATCCTCTTGATAGACACCCTCCAGCATATCTGAGAATCCCATTCAATACAGAGTCCTGAAGGGAAATAATTCCCCTACCTTCTAGTCAACCCTGTTTTACAGATGGAGGAGAGAGCAGAGTTTTTCAGAAAGTCACTGATATTTCAAATGTTATTTAAAATTCAACATAGGATTGTGTGTTCTTTAACATAGAATTGGCCTAGGGGACTCATGTCTACCACAAGATATTTCCATACAATTACATCCATATTAAGCGTATAAAACCCATATTTGTCATAGAGAAGGAATGTCTGCTAGAAAAAACATCTAAAGTAAATTTTCTGAGCCAAAGAGACATCTCACGGACATCAAAACATTGAGATTGCCAAGTATGACAGCATTTTTCCAAAACCCAATGCTCTATAGAAGGAAGGCAACCAAACATGAACTGTGAGAGGTGATGCTGTGTCACTGTAGGTCCTTGTTCTGTAAAGGCTGGAGACAGTAGGGCAAGATACTGTGACTGCAAAGGAAGCACATGAGGGGGCCACAGAACTGTGTATGATCTCAGGACCTAACTAAATTAGCATGCACTTACACTGAATCCCTGTGTGAGGTCTATGAAAAGTGATTTAATAACAATTTCAACCAACTTACAGGAATTAACCCCGTATGGGTGAAAAGGTCAAGGAGACATACTCTGTCTCTGTCTTGATCCAAGTCATCTACTCTTCCATGCTTCTGACTAAAGGCTGTTGATTGTGTGTTTTATATGTGTTATGATAATCATTTACTGAAAACACAAAACATGATTTTGAATAAATCTTATTAAACGAATATCCAGAATCATTTAATAAATCATACAGATATTGTTTGATGAATAATGTTTGAAGTCTGTTTATTTTTTGAGTTCCTTGGAGTCGCTAACAAGGAGTCATCCTTTTTACAGTATGTTAAAGATGACATCATCTCCTCTGTTCATAGACCAAGCTACACCTTACTTCCATGCCCACTCTGCACTAATGAGTCTGAGGATTGGCTGTTATTAGAAAATCCTTACTACTGAGGACAGTCTGTGGGACTGTTTTTCCTTCCCTATTCTAAAGACTAAAAGTTCCTGGGCTTCATTAGGTTTGAGCGCACCCTGCTGGCCCAGAGCTCCTCTGCAGGGAGGTTTGTGTCTGGGCTCATGCTGAAGTCCCCTCACTGTGTCTCTTGCACAGTAATATGTGGCTGTGTCCTCAGTGGTCACAGAGTTCAGCTGCAGGAAGAACTGGTTCTTGGCTGTGTCTCTGGTGATGGAGATGCGGCTCTTGAGGGATGGGTTGTAGCTGTTACCACCATCATATCTTATGCCACCCATCCACTCCAGCTTGTTCCCTGGGAACTGCCTGATCCAGCTCCACCTATAACCACTGGTGGTGATGGAGAAACCAGTGACAGAGCAAGTGAGGGACAGCGACTGTGAGGGCTTCACCAGGCCAGGTCCTGACTCCTGAAGCTGGATCTGGGACAGGACACCTGCAGACAGGAAGAGTCAATTCTGTCAATCACATGTTGTCACATCCCCTCATGGACACATGTATGAAATGGTCACACTCACCAGGAAGGGCTGCCACCAGGTACAGAAGACCCAACAGTCTCATCTTCTAGGCTACACCCCCTTTTCTCAGAGGTCAGCCTCCTGTGAGAGAGATGTGAGCTCCCACAGCTCAGGAAGGGATTTAACTTAGAGCTAGAAGATGAATTTGCATGTGGGGAGTCAGCCTTGTCCTTATAAAAGAGGAGGGTGGATACCACTCCATTTCCTTATTACAATACAGACATCACTGTGTCTGACTTCCTACAGTGTGAGTGATTAAGAGAGCATGGGGACTACAGGGATCACAGGAAACACATATTGTCATGAACCCACCTCTGCTCCCAAACCTCCTAAAAATTCTTCTGGTCCTGTATATTTTTGTGCTTTTTCACAATTCATTTATTTCTTAACATATTATATGTTATTATTTTAACTGATTAATTTTTTTTTATATTCTGATCCCAGATTCTCTTCCCTTCACTCTGATTGCTACTCCCACTCCCATCTTCTCCTTGGAGAGTATAAGGTCTCCCCTAGGAATCTACTAATTCTGTCCATCATCTCCTTGAGGCAGGACCATGGTGCCTCCCCACCACCGGGCATCCCTGTGTCTATGCTGGACAAGGTGTCTCTCCATATAGAATGGACTTCACTAAGTCAGTTTGTGCATTAGAGTTATATCTCGGTCACACCTTTGTTCCATTGTCCTCCATGTTGGTTCTGATCTTCCTTGAAGGTTGGTTTCTGATTGCTTACACTGAAACTGCACTGTCTGTCTTGATCAGTAACACATCCCTGAAACATAAGTGCTCACAGAGCTCAGCTACCAGGATAAATGGCTTTGTTTACTGGGATATGCAGACTGGATGTTTCAGAGATGGATTTCATGTTGTGTCAATATTACTACCAATGTCTCCTCAAAGATTTCCTCTCTCTCTCTCTCTCTCTCTCTCTCTCTCTCTCTCTCTCTCTCTCTCTCCTACTCCAGGTCCACTGTCCTCTTATTTTTGGACAGGGTATGTGTTATTAAATCTCCCCAGGAGTTGAAAGTATTCATTCATGAAGGATGGATTCAGAAGTTGCTCCCATATATGAGATAATTCAATATAACAGTGTATAATGTTTCCAATTCAGTATAAATCTCTGAATTATTGTTACACACATTTAAACGAAAATATATGATACAGAGAGTCACCTGGCTCTTGTCTGTTAAGCTCTAACTTCAATATCATAAATCAGATGGACCTAATGTTGAAGGAGAGAAGCAGCTGGAGCCAGTCTGTTGCATGGCTTCTGTTCTATCTACATTGCAGTCTCTGAATGTATTGATTCTGGCAATGAAATCCACAAAGGCTGCTGGAATCCCCTCAGCACAAAACTTTCGTATCAGCTTCTGCTACCATTTACTTCTAAGGAACTTGGCTCTCCAGTGCTGTCTGATAATTTATTATAAGTTTGTCTATGGGCTCATGCACTGTGTCCCAACCATGGCTTTTCCTTTTGTCTTCATTTTCCACTCTTTTGTTGAGTAGATACTTCAAGAATGAATAGTGAGCTGTGCCTCAATTGTTTTCCAGATCTAGGAAAGCCATTTTATTCCTTGGTGTTGTTGAATTTAGCTTTAGTAATGACAACTGACGATGAACTGAATTGATAGCACAGCTGATGGACAGTGTCTAAAATTACTCTACCTGGCAAAAATCCAAACACTCTGTAGAACAAAGGTGACCAGCAGATATCCAATGGCCTCTGAGAGATGATGGTGTATCAGTAAAGGTCCATGTTCTACAAAGCCTTGAGACTGTGGGGCAGGTGACTGATACTGGGAAGCAAGTAAATATGGGACCAGTGAATACTGTCTGATCTCAGAACCAACCTCAATGACCATGTACATACATTGATGTGATTAACAATTTGTGTGAAAATTAATATGATAATATTGTTGAAAAACTTACAGGATTATACTTGTCTGGCAGTGTATTTTGATATGTATCTCACATTCTAAGAGACTGGAACATCTGCTGGACCACACAGACAAAGTTAAAGTTACCCATGATGCCATGTAAAGTTACAGCCTATAAGAAGAGATTTGTTTTCCCAGATATTTTATTTGGAATTACTGAGCCAGTTCTTATTTTAATTGTCTAAAAGCTATGCCAACAAATGTCCCAGTCTCATAGAATCCAGAGATACTTTTGTCATAATACATAATGACACTTTTCACTTTTATTGTTTTATTAATGAAGAAAAGTGTCAATAGAGGTGGCCCTGGTGAAGAGATTGACAAGGTGTGGTGTATACTAAGGCATCATAAATCAGCATCACTTCATGCAGAGTTGTAATTTGGAGAAGGTACAACTGTGTGAAGTGACAGATGAATGGACACTCAAATTCCTTATTTCTGAGCAACTCTCCAGGCTAATTTGTGTCCTCTCATCTTCCTGCTCCTCCAGGGTTTCTGACACACTCAGGATGTGTTTGCAACACTGTGTCTCTTGCACAGTAATAGACAGCAGAGTCCTCAGATGTCAGCTGCTGAGCTCCATGTAGGCTGTGCTGGAGGATGTGTCTGCAGTCAGCGTGGCCTTGCCCTGGAACTTCTGATTATACTTTGTATCACCATCTCCAGGATAAATCCATCCAATCCACTCCAGACCCTGTCCAGGCTTCTGCTTCCAGTGCATTACATGGTCAGTGAAGGTGTAGCATGAAGCCTTACAAGACAACTTCACTGAGGTCCCAGGCTTCAACATCTCAGTAGCAGACTGCTGCAGCTGGACCTGGGAGTGGGCACCTGTGGGGACAAAGGCAGAGTTCAGACTCATTGTCACCTCAGTCCCTGTCTAGTCTTCATGTTTGGAACTGGAAACTCCTTACCTGTAATCACTGACATGAGGAAGAGGATGATCCAGCTCCATCCCATGGTGAGGACCTGTGTGCTCAGTGACTGTGGAGAGGACACTGATCATATGTTGTTGGTAGGGTGGATATATCTGTATTTACCAGCACAGATTTCATGATTTGCATATTCATGAGCAAAGAATTACTTTAAATAAGGACCTACTCAAGTTTGAGGAGATGGAGGACACTTGTGTCAGGAAAAGGATTCTGATGGCCAAATCCTAACGTTGTCTGAGGAAATGCATTCATTGTCTTAGCTCAGGGCTGTGCAGATGCTGTGGGTGAAACACCAGGACCTAAACTCTTGGTTGATTTGAGGCCTGAGAGAGTTGCTCTGCTCTGTGACAAGGTTGTCAGATTTATTTAAAGAAGATGGTTGTGATGATGATGGTGATGAATGGAAATTTCAAAATATGATAAATTTTGAGAATTTACATGCCCCTTTCAGATGTATAAAATCAGTACTTGTCCTTCAAGTAGGCTACATACAAACACCTCACTGAATTGGCCTAAAGGGAACATACCTCAGAAACATTTGTACATTGATATTTATTGCAACACTGTCTACAATAAATTATTTACTTCATGTCTGTCAGCAGATGACTGCATCAAGAAGACATGGTTATATGTGAGACATAATGGGAATATTTCATGTGAAAGATATGAAACTTATATCACCTTGAGGAAAATCAGCATGACCTGAGATATCTGTATTAATTAAGATCATCTCTGAAACACAGATATTATATGAGACTCTAAGTAGTTTATAAGTATTGGATAGGAACACAGAACCATGTGTGTTAATTCCTAACAACTTATAAGTGAAACTGTCCAGCAGAATACAGCATAAAGCTGATATTTGTTCTATGATTAAATTGGAGAATATCTGACATTGTCTCCATGAGATTCCGGGATCATCACACACATCCTCATTGAAAGGAAAACATCCTGGAATGGATGATACAGAGGCAGAGTCATCGCATTTGGGTGAAGGGGCCAGAGGGTCAGAGATGCAAGGAGCGCTGGTTCCTGTTGCAGAGAAGGCAGGTGACAGACTCTTCTGAAGAGAGAACTTCATTTCTAACCAGGAACACTCACGTTGTGTTTCAGAGACTTGTTCATGCAGGACTTAAAACTGTGGTGTTCTGTCTGAAATCTGTGATATGAGCTGCAGCAGATACAGGTATTTTTCCTAAGTTTTTCAGATGTACTTGAAGTACTTCTAGTTCCAAAGCAAAAACAAAAAAACAAACAAAAAGCATGAGGACAATCTGGGCGTTGGTGGCACACGCCTTTAATCCCAGCACTGGGGATGCAGAGGCAGGTGGGTCTCTGTGAGGTCGAGTCCAGCTAAATGTTGATTAACTATTCCTGCCAATAAGAGCTTTAAAATTACAAAAGTATTACTGTAATATTGTTTCAGAGTAACTCTTGCACTCAGACCATTTTTCTGAACCACTTCATGACATTCAAAATCCCAGACCTCAGATATAGTCAACTTGAGAGTCTATCTAATATATTTCCAATCAGTGCTGTAGGCATGTCTCACTCTTCCTATTTATTACTGTAACATGTGAGTGAAAAGTACTTTAGAGAGAACATGGGTTAGGTAAAATGCAACTACCAATTCATTAACCCCTCAGAAATTCTCAAGCACTTGGACTGAAAATGACGGTACTGTTGTGTGATGCATGTGAGGAGAGCATGTTATATGTTGATGATGTGACTGGTGGGATTTAAGATCTGCACAGAGTTGAGCAGCAAGCAAACCTGCATTTAGTTGATGTGTAAAGTCTTCTACCAGAGGCCGGATCTAATCTCATGAGGTGCAAACATCATCCAGC